TAGAAGCATAATATCCCACTTCCATAAACTGGAGATTTTTTGAAGAACTAAATTTCCTGGCTTTTTGAAACAGGAGTTTAAATATCAATAAGCTACAAACAAATTGAATCAGAAATTTATCTCATATAGAATTACCCGGTGGTAGAGGATTCCGGAAGATGAGCATGTAATCTATACTATGGTTACTGGGAGAAGACAAAAGTGAGAATAGCTTGAATGTGGCTTTAGTCCCTCAGTGCCAAAATATTTTGAAAAGCTGTTTTGGACTTTATGAGATGGTGAAGCAAAGGTGTGAGTAGGTACAACACACACAGTAGATAAACATACATACCCTTTAATCTTTTGGTTAAACTAATGTTGCCGCGCCTGCTCCATGGTAAAATGCAGACTGGAAAGCTGTGTTCCAATTTCATGTCCCTTTCTTTGAGTTAGGCAAACTGAGGAAGAACAGCTATATTGGACCAAAACCTCCATGGACATGTTGTGCACATGTTTTCCAAAAGATGTCCCTGTGCTTTTTGAAATAAAAAAAGAGGAAGAAGTTGGAGTTAGCAAAGAATGGCACTGGAAACCAAGGTCAGAATCATGTATACAATGCGAAAGGAAGATAGTGAGGAAAGACAGGGATAAAAATCAAATTATTTGAAATGCGGTGTTGGTACAGATACTAAAGACAGCCAGAAAAGCAGAAAAGTGGGTGCTCAATCAAGTCAAGCCAGAATGCTCACTTGAGCAAAAAGAGTAACCTGAGGATTACCATGGGACTATGACTGGACAGTAGTTTGGGGATGATCTTGCATAAAAATCATGTGGCTCCCTGAGGATCCATGTGTCAGATCCATGTTTTTCCACAACTGCAAAGCCATGTACTGAAGGGCCCAGAATTTCTGTGTTTTAGTTTGTGGGCAGAGATGGGGCCTATGATTGGACAGTGGTTTGGGGGGTGATCCTGCATAAAAATCACATGGATCCATTATAATCTGTATGTCAGATCCATGTTTTTGAGCTACTGCAAAGCCATGCATTGGGTGACCCATGGTTTCTGTGTTATAATCTATAGCCACAAATGGGGGCTATGAATGGACCATGGTTTGGGGATGATCCTGCAGAAAATTTCTGGATCCATGAGCATCTCTGCCTTGGATTGGAATTTTGCACCACTGCAAAGCCATGTGCTCAGACAGCCATGATTTCCGTCTTGTAGTCTGTGAGCACTGATGGTCTATATAATTGGACAGTGGTTTGTGCTACTGCAGTGTCATGGGCCAAAGGATCCATGATTTCTGTGGTGTAATTTGTAGGCATAGATGGGTTTGATGACTTGATAGTGATTTGGCTAGGACCACACCAAAAACATTGTATGAAATCATCAGGAGCCATTCTTGATTTCATGGATCCACCTTTTACCCAGACACACACACACCCCGAATCAGTATCTTCATAGCTTAAATGGTAAGGAGACATGGTTTGCTTACAACTGAAAAGGGCTAGCGTGTATTGATCATTTGACCAAGGAGCAAAATGAGAAAAAGGCCTCTTCATTTTGAATTCTGCAAGTTTGCCAGTGTTTTATCTTTAGAGATAAAGTTAATTTATTTTACATCCTCCAGGGATTATAACAATTACACCTCAAGTTAAGTCTTCAAGTTTGCTGCCTGCATCTTGGGACTTTATTCTAACTTCATGTCTCATGAGTATAAAATCTGCCTAATTTTTGGACATTCAATTTCTCACTCTACCCTATCTCAAGATATACAACACCTAGAATTCTGAAGAATTTGAAAGCTTGCCTTTTTTAGTGATGGTTTTTGGTCCAGTAAAAGTATTAAGCACCTCTGATTTAAACGTAGACATGTTTACATTTTTTTAAAAAAAGCTCAGAAGATATTTTAAGAAGCCAGCTGCTGAGAAACTTCCTTGGGCTGGAATGCTGATATTGCTGGAATATATAAATATTACTTGCTAAATTTACCTGGAAGGACCAAACATATTGTTAAAAGGAGCTGTCCCCTTCATTTTTTAATGATTTTTAGTGATGAACTATCATAAGGAAATAACATTATTTTCTGTGTTTGACTTGGGAATGGATATTTGGATAGAGATATAGCTGGTACATTCTCTCTGTGCAACGTAGTTTTCAGACAGTGTGGTGAAGGCACATTGTAGCGTTCACCCTTTGTTAGGTATGTCATGTATTATTCATGTTCTATGCAAATGAGCTGAGAGAGAGATTAAAAGGTGGAACCTGAGAGGAAGAAAGTCAGTCAAGAGTCAGTCAGAGAGAGTGAGTTAGTCAGAGGCAGGGGCAGAAGAGACAGAGATTGAGTTAGAGACTGGTTAAGATAAATAGATAGAGGAGGTGGTAATTAATTATATGGCACGAAGAAAGTATGTATAAAGAGACCTGTGAATGATTTGATTGTGTACAATGAACAACAGAAGAACATCTGTAATTATTATTAACTTTGCTACACTTCAATAAATAAGTTCTGTTTGCATTTACCAGACAAGTGTTTGGACAAACATCTTTTATAGTGTGGATAGAGGTAATTCACTGGTGGCAGTGAGGGAAACAAAGACTGGAACTTTTGTGAGGGCACAAAAAGTTGATGCTTCATAGAGGTGAATGTCACACACAGTAAGAAAGATTTTACGTTTTTCTTGTTATTTCCAATATCTCATGTTGTGATGCTCAAAACATCATCAACCTTACCTGCCCCATATATTTGGTGTTGAAGAAAGAATGAAGTGGCTTGTGTATTCTATTCTGTGGAAAGACAGGATTAGTAATGGGCACAAATGAGCTAAATGGCAATTTGTTTCGATTTGTGATTCATCAAGGTCGACAAATAATGACTAATGCATTTATGATTTTTTCTGATGTATCAACAAATAATTCATTGATTCATTTTTGCCATTAAAACCCTATAAAATGCCCTAGAGACACCAAAATCACAGGCTAGCTTCCCATAACTCTCTTCTACAAACCCTGTAAGTTTAGTGAAGTTTGGGTTTGGGGCATCCAAGTATCTCTAGCTGTATTCGCAAAGGCTTTCATTTATGGGATCTAATTCATTGATTCGTATTTGTCAGGGACATTGATTTGTACAAATACAAATTTATTAATTAGCAATATTTTAATAAATTTGGTGTTTTTCTCTAGGTTCCTGTGGGTGGTGTTTCATAGCCCAACGAATCAACAAATAAAAATTGTTAAAAATTCATTGATTCGTATTTGTCAGGGACATTGATTTGTACAAATACAAATTTATTAATTAGCAATATTTTAATAAATTTGGTGTTTTGTTTTTTACTTTGTGCCCATCTCTAGACAGAATACATGTTTTGATAAATCAGATGACAGCTATCCATCATTTTTGTCATAAGAGCTACTGTATAAGACTACAACTTCTGCTTCGACTTATTGTTATTATATAATGAAGGCAAGCTTAGTGTGTTGGTAAAGACTGCATTAAACCCCTCAATGTGATTTTTAGTAATTTGATCCCAGCATCCATAGAGCTCCCTCATTCCTGACCCTCATTTTTTAAAAAGAAATGTCAAACTGAATATATTTATTTAATGCATTTATTGGGGAGGGGGGTTGGGAAGAAAGATAGCTCTGCTCCTTTTTGCACTCATTATATACATATAGGGTTTTTTTCTGGAGAAAGAACATTACTTGGGTACTATAAGTCAGAATTAAACACCCATTCTTACATAAGTGGCATATATATAATTGAGATTTAGAAGAGTGTGAACTCTCCCCCAAATCTTAATTCCCAGCTCACCACTATTTTGTTGTCATGTTCTTACTTACACTAATGAATGGCAGTAAAGTATATGGTAGTTGCCCATGTAATTTGTTCTGTTTATAATAACTACATCTTACAGAAGGGTATTATATAGAAAATGAACCATGACAATACTTTTCTTTCCATTTTCTTTTCTGACAGGATCAGCCATAAAGTGCAGCCAGTTTGAAGTGTCGAAGCCAAAACCACCACCTCTTCTTGGTCAGCATACAGTAGATGTACTGAAAGGTACACTGGGGTACAGAGATGATGATATACAAGAACTGCTTAGCTCTGGAGTGGTAGCTGAACATAAACTCATGTGAATGGAACTGAGTTCTTCAAAATTTCATTGACTCCTCCTTGGATTTCTTTACTTATCACAACACTGCAATGGAGATGTGATTAAATTCTTTGTATTATTAGCACCATGATCCAAAACATACCCAACACCAACATACCAGCCTGCTTTTTATGTAATCCAATTTTGTTATTTGAGGAGAAGAACTGTATATTTCTGAAGAATTTAAAATGGCAAGTCCTCATGTAACTAATTGCATACCAGATGTTTTAATTCTAGGGAATATATTTTTATCAAATTGTAATACCCCCCCCACTAAAACATATAATAAGAGGAAGGCAATTGTGAATATTGCAGTATAAAATAATCTGTCTTCGTGATAAAATTAAGAATTTATGAAAAAAGTGGCTCATCATTCATTTGAAATAAGAGGTTGGACACTTTGGTGATCTCTTGTCTAGTTGTCATATGTTATTTTCTTTTTCACCTTCCAGAAAGCATGTTTCCATCAGCTGTCTTTGAGAGTTACTTGACCTGGGATATTTTTTCTGAGTAATTTTATTCAAGGGATGGCATTTAAGACATCAGGTACAATTTATGACCCGACCTCCCAATTGCATCAATGGAAGATGAAAATATTCCATGGAATATTCCATCACCAGCTTTGTCATCTAAAATTTATCACAAAAACAGCTGTGGAGGAAAAAGGCTCCAAGGCTACATGAGAATAGTTTGTTCTATTCATTAACAGTTTCTTGGATAGTAGAAGGTAGAATATGCTTTGTAGTAATTCAGGGACAGTTTAAAATTAAGACATTTAAGTCTTCTTAACGCGTTAGACTGTGTCATCAGGAGCCTGAAGGGGCTGAGAACTACATATCCCAGGCTGAGAACTACATATCCCAAGCATCTGAGCATCAGTGCCCATTGTTGCTAGATTACCTGGGAAACTAAATTCTCTGTGTTTCATGGAGCACAAGGAGAGAATGAACCAGAGGTATTTGAAGCTGTAGATTCTAAAATCACAAATTTTGAAAAGGTTACTTTCTGGAACTAAAAAATCCCACCTGTCTGCCTACCCAGTATGGCCACACTCTTCTTCTGAATGCACAAACAACACTCAGTTCCCATTCTCAACTGGGGAAGCATATCAATGGAACATTCCAAACTGGCAAACTTTAAACAATCTAGGAACTAAACAACCACAATATTCAGTGGCATCACAATAACTGAGGTCCTGAAATACAAACTCCTCATGCATTTCATCATTATATTTTGCCTTTCTCTGGAAACAAATTGATGATTTTCAAAGAGATAACTTCCATGCCAGGAGCTACTAATTACATGAGTAAAGCTAGTAGAATCTAAGCCATAATTAACAGCACGCGATACATGAAAGGAAAACCGCTTTTGTATACAAAGCAATATGGTATTTCTTCAAGCATGGTGGGGAGAGGGCCTGAGTGCTCCATCTATAATTTAGATCAAAAGTAAGGCCTGAGCAATGAGATTCCAAACTTTTTGCATGCACTGAAGGGAGGCATTGCCCTCCTCCTGCTGAAACTAAATAAAACTAACCCAAACTGACACGTAACTAATAATGACCACATTTCATTCTGAGGATCGGAAACAGCCCTGCTTTTGTAAGTGGCCTGTCACTTTGTTGCCAGTTTAACAAACAACATCCTCCATTTAGATGTGAACGTCATGACTACATATTGCTTTCCAGGGTGAGGTGGGTTAGGGGGAGACTTAAAAATATTGTATAGTGAAGTTTAAATGGAACTGTGCTGGTGTTTGCAGTTCTATGGCATCAACATATTCTGTTCAGGTTATTTTGTATCTGCTCTCTTGTTTTCAAATTTCCTGTGAATCTTTTTTCTATACCTCTATGTACATTTGTGTGCATGTATGTGCATGCTGAATTATAGTCTCAGTACTACAGCCAGTACTTTGCTCCAATGCTAAGAGGATAATAACTTCTTGCCTCTTCTTCCACTGATCTCAAACCATTTTCTTAAATAATTCAGTACTAAGGAATGAGGAGGATGAGATGGCTGGACAGTGTCTGCGAAGCAACCAACATGAATTTGACCCAACTCCGGGAAGCAGTGGAAGATAGGAGGGCCTGGCATGCTCTGGTCCATGGGGTCACGAAGAGTCGGACACGACTAAACGACTAAACAACGACGACTAAGGAATGAGTCCAGCTTGGTCTTGAAGCTCTCTCTCTCACACAGCAATGTGCTGCAGGTGTTACTGCCTTCTAGTTACTGGTGGGTGTCCCTTCCCTTCTCCCAACCAGGTTGACTCAGGCACCGACTACAAAGCTTATTTTTTCCAGAACAGCACAGAGTCTATGACACTAAGGAAGGGAAAATCCCAGAAGCTGACACCTTTGTACACCTGTTAAATACTTCTCGGCCACAAAGCAATGGTCAGGGCTGTTTTTCACTCTAGTGTGAATGGTCGTGAGCAGAAAAGGGTCTCCTGTAGACCATCTTGTCAGGCACTGACTACAAAGCTTATTTTTTTTCCAGAACAGCACAGAGTCTATGCCACTAAGGAAGGAAAAATCCCAGAAGCTGACACCTTTGTACATCTGTTAAATACTTCTCGGCCGCAAAGCAATGGTCAGGACTCTTTTTCAACTAGTGTGAATGGTTGTGAGCAGAAGAGGGTCTCCTGTAGACCATCTTGACTGCTGCCATTGGTGTTGACAGCATTCAGGTTGTCCTTTGCTATGTAAAGCTTGGCATCCTTTTTCCTGCTGGGGATAGGGCACAGTATTCTGCAGCAATATTGGGCCATTTCTTGGCTTTTTGAATTGCAGATACAGAAGCACAATATCCGACATTCATAAATGGGAGGTTTTTTTAAAAGAATTGAATTGTTTTTAAAAGTGAATAGCTTGCTGAGAATTCAAAATGCTGCTTTTTTTTCTAACGTACCTTTGGTTCTGCCTCTAATATCCAGCCCAGTGGGCATCAGTTGCACTCTAGCCACATCACTCATCCGATGCGTTAAGAGAGCAAGCCCCTTTCTTAGAAGCTGGTAAGCATTTCTTAGCAGTAGGCAAAGAAGTCTTTAGCCTCAGGGTTTTCTTGGCACCCAAAATAGATAGGTTTTCTCTCTCACACACATATACACATAGGGACATGTACACATCATTTAAATACATGCTTCTTTTTTCATGGAGAAAGGGGTTGCCTTTCCCCTGTGCAGAGAAAGAAAACACAACCAGCTAACTTTGGGGAAAGAAATCCTATCTCGGGGCTATTGCTTTGAGGAGTTTCTTCCACTGAGCCCTTAGCAAGTTGGTCTAGTAGGTCTTACAGATCTTATCTGACCAACAGGTCACATATACTCTGGGGGAATGTGACAATAGATTGCAACCACAGACACTGGGCTGCAACTCACATTATCCTTCATCACTGCTAATGAGAGTTGCAGTTCCACACCTGAAGGCTATACAACACTCATAATGTTTCCATGCCTGCTATAAGTACTGGTAAGTGCATTTATTGATGGGTGCCAGGCCAGAGTGCAGATAAACTCACCTGCTTCCCTAGAAATATGGACTACTGACCTGAGCTTACGTACAGAGGGCTTTTGCAGTGAAGTATGCATTTGAGGCCTCCCTTGTTCTGAGGGAACAACTATAAACTAATGCAATCCAGTAGAGCCAGAGAGTTTCTTGAGGCCTCCAAGAAAATGAAAATCGACTCTCCAAAGCAGAGGTAGTTTCTAAGGAGAGTCTGCTTTGTACCTGAGGATGTTGAAATAGAGAAAGAACTCTAAGCATGGCCTTTGGGGATTTTTTCTTCTTTACCTAAGGAAGCATCTGCAACGGAGGTTGACTCAATGATTGAGGTACTGAGAGGGGGAGATTTTTCCTTGTTCTATGAGTTCTTTATATTCAAGGATATCACTTCTAAGGCAGATGTATGTGTGCAGAAGTAGGCTTTGGTGCTGAGCCTTGAGAATTATCCAGTTAACAAAACTTTCCACAGGAAAACATGCAAACCTGAAAGTGAATAGGATTATAACCATACAAATAGGTCTCATAAGTCTGTTACAGAAATCCATAAAACGGATATGTTTCTTCAAAGCAGACCAAGCAAGCCCTACTCACAACATTGTCATTTGCATAGAGTTTCTTGGCTAATTGTGTATGTCAGCCAGCCTAGAACCAGAAAACAAAACCTGCCTAAGTCCCATGGTGAGCAACACAGCGTGAATGATGAACAATCCCAATTCACGGGTGATCCACAAACCCCAAATTATTTGCTGATTCTGCAAATAACTTAAAATAACAAATACATTAGAGAAGTCTATGATCTGGTCTCAATCAGCTCTCAAGCACCAAAAAAGATGTAAGCTGCCAGATAAATATTATGTTACTAATTATTCACCTAGCTGAGTTTTACACTTCTGGGGCTCTTTTACAGATAATGTTTCAAATTGCTTCATAAGGAATTTATTGCAAATATCTCATGGGTCACTGAGTTCCCTGAAAGCTGGTCAGATGTTCAAAGAAGTACAGTATTATAGAAAAACTGAAGTGAAGTATTTAATATTCATAATGTACTACAGAATTGCATAAAAGGGGAAAATCTGATAGCTGCTTGTAGCTAGCTGTTCGTACCATGACCTCTGCTAATTAGATGGATTGAGGATGCAATAGCTTCCCCACCTTGATTGTATTGGCTAGCTCTGGAACAGACAAATGGCTCACAAATTTTATATGAGAGTCAAGAAGGCATAACTGTTTTTCCATAGTTTATTTTCATGCTGCTCTGATGTGACTAAAAGAACCTTCCACTCCCTAGCAGTGGCTGTTGATGATTTCAAGAAGAAAACGTTCACTACCTCACTTGAGATGCCATAGGTTGACCTCAGGAGTCTAGATGCAACACAGGAGTCCACCATTCAGCTTTTGCCCTACCAGAGCAATGTTTTTAGCATGCCAGTAAAGAACCTGTCAGCACCTATTATGGTTTTAATGTTTATGTAGCACACTTTTGCCAAAAGCCAATAAAAGAAAAGGGAAGACATCTGATATTATTAATTTTAAAATGTATTTAAACATTTTAGCCCATCCTATATCACAGAATCTCTGGGTTACAAAGGTACACAAAATAATTTTAAAACGTAAGATATTTAAAACAAACGGCATGTGAGGTACCCTCACTGCTCCCTCCATGACAAGGCAGTATTCAGACTTTATTGGGAACAAAGAAAGATGGAAAGAGGATGTATAAACACAAGTTCTTGCAGAGTTGGCCCCTTCAGGGTGTGGGGATGCTGGGGTTCTTTGCAGCACCAAGCCCTTCTGGAATTCCAGGGCATCCTGCCAAGTGTCATTGTGTTCTTCCCCTGAGCTCTCATCTCCCCCTCCTATTTCTAGCCTGGGCAAGAGCACCTTTCCACCTCTGAGGGGTGTGTCTGGCCCCTCCTCTTCTCCATGGGCCCAGATGTTTGGAACAGGGAGAGCATTTCTCTTGCCATAGGAGGCTGACCACTCTGTCAGCCAGTTGCAACTGGCTCACACAGCACAATTTTAAAATATTCCAACATTAAAACTATTGAACTAAAACCTATGCAGGCCATGATCCTCAGCCTCCAATGGCTCTAATAAAACCGTACATCTTGACTTGGCACCAAAATGATGCCAATTTCAGCACTAATTGAGCCTGCGGGGTGCTACAGCAGAAAAAGCTGTTCCCCATGTCTCCATATAATGAACTATTCTCAGTGGTGGGACATGAAGGAGGGCCTCCCCCACTGATCTTAGTGACCAGGCAGGTTTATATTAGCGAGAGGTGCTCCTTTAATATAAAGGTCCCAAGCCATTTAGATCATCATAAGTCATTATCAGCACCATGAACTCAGACCGGAAGCATGTGCAAATCCTTCAAAGTGGGTGCCATGTGCGTTCTGAAGAATATTCCTTAGCAATCTAGGTGCTACATGGCACATCTGCTGCAAAATCTATTTCATCTTCAAGGGTAACCTCATATACAATGCATTATAGCAGTATTACCAGGAAATGACCAAACTACTTGGGAGCAAGTAATCAGATCCATAGGAACTTTACAAAGGAACACATGAAAAGGATAATTTAAACATGGACTTCCTGGTCCCACATTTTGACTTCACCCTAGTCTAGAAAAGATGCAGATGAGTAGGGTGTACCGCTTCATGTATCTTGTATATCCATTTTGTATTACTGTCAAAATAGCTATATTTATACCCACACTATACTTGCCCACTTTTGCTTTAGCAAAGTTCTATGTTCCAAGTTCTGCTGTTGGAGTAAGAAATTTGATGATTTGGAAGGGTTTACTTTGGTGCATATTTTGTGATTATTGTTTTTGTGATGTGTCCAATGTAAACCACTTTAGAAAAGCTCTGCTTTCTGAAGCTTAAATACACTTCTGCAGAACAGAGCCTTTCCAAGTAGTTGATGAGGTGGGGTTTCTAGTTGGAATCTTTGTGAAGAATGTGGATTGTTCCATTTCTTTGTCTTTATTACATTTTCACTCCCACCTTCCTTCAAGGAGCTCAGAGTAGAGAGCATGGCCTCTTTTATTCTCTGAACAATCATGAGAAGTCGGGTAGGCTAAGATACTGGTCACTCAATGAACTTCTTAGATAACTTGAAACGTGAAGCTGTCTCTCCCCAGTCCCCTGTTCCTTCAACACAAGATGATGTGAGGATTTCTTGGTAGTCTTTTCATCATGCCAAATTAGAACAGAGAGCTAACTCATTCTCCTAGTACAGCCATGAAAATAATTCCTAATGAAAAGTAGAAAAGTTTTACAGTAAAAAGGAGAATGTTACAGAGCTCCACAGGGTCCAATGATTTAATCTTAAAAACAAACACACACCACAAATCCATTTGTAAATTTGGTGATTTGTGATAATACACATATATGCACACATGGGTGCACACACACAGGTGTCAAAGGCAGACAGCAAAAGCTCAGTTATTTATTTCGTTATTGCTGTAGTTTTATTGGCAGGGAAGGGCTTTTGAGTTTTTTCTCTGCTTTATGTACCAGAATGACTTGGCTACTGTTGGGTACCTTGACTTGGGTGGGTGAGCACCACTTGCCTCAGGTAACAAAATATATTGGCTGAAATCCTATTGCTTAGCATAGTAAGTCACAACTACAGTAGGCCCATTTGACTCAATGAAACATTTGGAGCAGTTTCAACAAACTCTCACTGACTCAATGAACCTACTCTGGTGTGACTTACTACACTAAATGATGCCATTTCTGTCATTGGGTTAGCTCTGACTGATACAGAGCCATACCATTTCTGATCTGTTTCCAAGGAGTAGCTGTTCAGTATCTCCCAAGGAATAGGCATTAATATTTTAATAATAATAATAAAAAAGATTGCCTACTTCATCTTAAGACTCAGGCCATTATAATGTGTACTGAGCCTTTCATTTAAGACATTTAGTTTGCTGAACTTAGATAAGGATTTCATTATTATTGTTTGTCACAAGGGTTGGTGGTGGAGCATATAACAAATAGGAACATACCACGGGGTGCATGCAACTAATGCTCAAGGGTGGTTTCAGAGCTAGGGGCTGAAAAGGCTCCTCCATCATAGGTCCTGTGTGCCTTCCTAACAGCTGATGTTTCTCTCTTGCAGTCAGAAGTTGGAGCAAGGAGGGAACTACACAGAAAGACCTCAGAGGTCTGCCTTCAAAAACCGGGGGGAGGTGCAGAGGCAATCAATGAGTTTCTTTGGGGGAGGCGGCTGAATAGGAAAACTTCTGATGTATGGGCAGGTCTGGATTACCGCCCATGTCTTTGAAGAAGGGTCATTGATTTCAATGTGAAAGTTAATCTGGTTCTGACTAGCAGAAGCTTCCAGGCTGGTTTTATTTTCTCCTTGCACAGCTAGTCCTTTGCAAGGTGATTTACTGCTGCCTCGCACTGACGACACTACATTCCCACTGTTTCCTCTCCTATGGCGATCACTGAAGAATGCTGAGCAACCACTGGGGTGCGTGCCAGTTTGACAGTGCAAAGTTACCCTTAACCTCTCCTCCTTTGTTTTCAGGTGTTCCTCTGGCTGCAGCTATCCTCAGAATTAACTTTTCATCCAGAAAGAGGGCATTTGTTTTCTGCCGCTACACCACAGCCCATCCAAAAGCAAGCGACTGGGAAATTAACCAGAAATCCAGCTCCTCCGCATGAGAAAAGAGGCCTCAAACACAACCCTGATTGTGCATTGACACTTGTTAAATGACCCTGGTGTAGGAACAAGGCCAATACGTGGGGGATCCTTGACTCAGGATATTGCTGTGACAAATGCTCCACCTCATGGATTTACCATCCATGAGGCTTTGAAAAAAATGGAGTTATTGCTAGTGATCCAGAAACCAGGGAGGGCCAGAACAGACAGTCAGATCCAGAGCAACCCACAAAACTGAATGGTTCATTGGTTGCTCACAGAGCTTTTCAGTTACTTTTTGGCTAAATGCTGCAAATATCTCCCTTGGTGCTATTTGTCAGCTGACTAGAGAGCTTTTACTGTTCCCAAAATCATATCCGTATGTGCCTTTATTCCTGGGTTTTGACTGAAGAACTGTTGAAAACAGACACATGAAGGGCTTGGAAAGGCGGCCAAGAAGGTCAAGCCCTTCATGTTTCAGAAAATGTTTTGTCTTTAATATCCATTCATCATTTATGAAAAAAAGTTTTCTGTTTCAGTTATTCACAAATTTTAGTGAACTGTTTGTAAACTAGGGCACTTAGACCCCCTTTGAATCAGGTCTCAGTCAGGCTTAGAGCAGCCCCCTGCCCCCATGAACAGGACTAGTAAACCATGCCTAACTAAAAGCAAGCTGATTTCAGTGGCTCTTATCTAATTAAATCTAGATTTCACTCTTATTTCTCCATGAAATAGTAGGCTGGGGTCAGGATGGTCCATTTGAAAGACTGCTGAGGGCAAGCCTCCATGTGAAGATATCTTGGACTGGAAAGCTTGTTCAGTCTCAGCTTGCTTTGAAAATAAAGAATGACCAGGAGGGAGATCAGGGGCTTTTAACTGGGTCATCAAAAATTAGCACCTGGAAAATAGGTAGACAAGGCACTTGGTCACTGTCTACCCCCAATGTGCTGTGATTCTGTTCAGGTCATTAAAAAGGCATTCTGAAATTTACATCCATACAATATATTAGAATATTCAGTTTTATGCAAATCACTATCCTCTCTTTTTTGTCCTTTTCTGTGATGGGTGTCATCCTTTTTGATGATGCGTAGGTGGCCACTGTAACTAGGACTAGCCACACAAGTAGTGTGTATAGGCACGCACATTCAAGTACCCAGGTTCCCACCCTGGCATCCACTGCTAGATTTTTGAGATAGCTCAATAGTAGTGATGGGCAGGGGGTTTGATATCAGTGATTTGCAATGTTGTCATGTGATATCTCATCTTAGAGTATGAACCTCGGTGATAGTTCTTCAGAGTCTGTTCAAGATTTCTTTGCTTCCTGTGATGAAAGACAAGATGGTGCCTTTACTTATTCCTTGTACAGACTAAAAATGGGGCAGTGTCCTCCCCTGCAGGCTACATTAAGTGGTGTGAGGCACACAAAGCATCTGCCACCGGAAACAGCCCCCTCACTCTGCCTGACAGACAGGCTAGCCCTAACCTCATTTGTTTCAACCCTTGTATCTTAATGATTCAATGTCAAACTGGTTTTTTTTTCCAAAATTCATTCCCACCCACATCCTACCCTCAGATTGTTTTACAGTCCACAGAATACTCAGATTTCTTAGAAAAACAGGGCTTCGTTGATGCCCGGCATTAAGGTTAATGCTACAAACCTGGAAGCAGGCAATCAAATAGATATGTGGATACAAGGCATGGAATTAAAGGATTTAGCTGTTTCCAGACTTTATAACTGATGTTATTTAAAACTTCCCCTTGCCTTAAATAAATGAAGGCTCAGTATAGTAATTCTGAGTCACTGGTGGTTGTATTTTCCCCCTTTACACAATATTGGTTATTAAAGTTATTTAATGCCTCTCACAAATACATAAATAACATCTGCCTCAAGAGGTCTAGCCATTTTGCCTATAGCTGCATGATAATATACTACTCTAGCTTTCTTTTTGTTTTTTCTTTCTTTCCGGTGAAAGATGCAGCTTGTGCTACAGCACATCTATCTATTCAACTGCTTAAAGTATTAAGCAATTTAAGCTATGACTAACTCTTTGCTTTTCAGCAAATGGCAGTTCTTACTTCAATGGGATCTTGTGAGCTTTTATTTAAAATGTTTTTAAGGAAAATGTTTTCTTGTTTGATACCCCTCTAAATCTTTTCATAGCCTGCACTTTGGAAGGTCTTGAGAACTGATCAGTTGTGTTAAGAATCAACATTCCAGAATGTGCATGCCCCCAGATCCTCCATGGGGAGTGAGCATGAAAAGGTCGCATAGGTCAAGACATAAGGGCAGAAGTGGAAGCTTCCTTTCAACACCATCTTTATTACTTAAACCAACAAAGTAACTCTAAACTATTCTAATCACTCAAGTCCTCCTTCAGTCCACCCAAATAAATCCAATTCTGAGCAGCTTTAATGTCCACAATGGAAAATGGTTATTCACCCTCTCTAACCAGTCTCTAAGGTTTGAGAACTGCCCTGTTCAATACCCTCTGCTTCAGGGGCAATATATCATTCTCTGGAATTGCCCACATATCAGCTTCAAGATGTTGGCATTGATTATATTGTCCCTGCCTCCTCCACTGTCACAACTATGTCTGAGTAGTTGTTGGGGTAGGCTTGCTGGTTCCTTCTCTGTACTGTGACATCATTCAGACAGCTACCATGTTTTCCCATTCATTATAATTTTCCATCTCCTTCTCTTTCTTCTCCACAGACCTTTGTCCCTCCTTTTTATATCATCAGGGTCTCCCATTTCCCTTCCAGATCCTTCTAAGCCCTATGTCTTGCCTTGTACCTCATTCCTTCTAGAAGGTTCCTCAAACTTTGGAGATTTAAGGCAAGCCCTTCCCATTGCTTCCTCATTCTCCACCTCCATAGATAACTCAGCTGATCATCAGCTTCACAATCCATGGCATGGCTATCTTTCATGGATAGGGTGGCTCTGTGAGATCACCCAGGGTAGGAGGAGGTCTGGTGAGGAAGAGACAGGGATCGTCCTGACATTGGGGACCTTTTGGAACCCCTTCACACAGAAACATAGGTCAGTTGTTCTGTCTGTCTATCTCTGACATATCTTGTAAAAGTTACTTTTTTGGACCAGCCCTTGGAAGCCAGCCATCTCTCCACCTTGTCCCTTTTCATGCATTCAGATTAAATTTGTGAGGACTAAAAGTGGGTGATATAGATCAGTGGTCCTCAAACTGGAGTTTCCAGTTGTTCTTGGACTGCAACTCTCAGAAATCCTGGCCAGCACCGCAAGTGATGAAGGCTTCTAGGAATTGCAGTTCAAGAACATCTGGAGACTCCAGTTTGAGAACCACTGATGCAGATGGCTGGTCTCAGCCCCAGTGTCCTCACATGCATCTGATCTCATTCCCTCTTTGTCTGATATCCCTGCATTAAGTAGCATAAGCAAGATTCACCTAAATATGAGTTGAGCTTTCTATGTATTCATACCCAGATCATGTTCTTAAGAATGCAAACAGAGCATTCTTAAGATCTTGCTGTTCAGTGTGGCACGCCCACGGATGAAGGCAGTTGGGTCCAACAAACATGGAGATGAGGGGTGTATAGCCAACACATCCACTTCATCCTAATATTTTGCCGTCATGATTCTTTAAGTACACGACTACTGTATGTCATCTCTCTCTCTCTCTCTCTCTCTCTCTCTCTCTCTCTCGTTCCTCCACCCCTTCCCCCTTGTCAGGAGGAAAAAGGAGATCAATGTGACATACATAGTTTCCCAAAGCTCATAGGAGCCCTTGGAGATAGATTAGTGTATGAGGAAGTGACTTGATTAACATCATTCAAGGAACATCCACACCGGCAGAATAGCTCGCTATATGATTGCTTTTGATGCTGTTCAGTTTATGGAGTTAACACATGTTTTGAATTGGATGATGATCTATCACACCCCTTTTTACAGCTGTCCCACTCCTCTTTGGTAGAGTGGCAGGGTTACAGGTTTGTTTGTTTTTTTGGTGCAATTTGAAACACTGCTAATTCACCCATTCTGTAGCCCATGTGGATAGTTAATCTGCATCAAAATGACAACTCTGTGACATATTTGGTGGATTGTGGCATTGGAAGAGACTTTGGAGGAAAGCCCCTTTCTATTTCCATCTTCTCTACCATCTAAAATTTTTCAAAATATATATTTTCCTATTGATTACAGCACTTTTCTAGAAAAACAAGAAACATTGATGGTATTATGTGTATCATAACCAGGTAGATGCATAGCTGTTTTTCTAATTCACTTTATTTAATAACAACAACAAAAAAGAAAAGAAAAAGAAAATCATCATGATACACTGAATGACAGCTGTGGAAAAAGGCAGAGAAGGGGGAGGGAAAGGGAGTGTAATTAATTGGAAAGGGGATAAATTGGGGTAATCCAAAGACCAGCCTGGGCCCTCCTCATAGGATAAAAAAATACTGAATGGTGTAAACAGACGGATTGCTCCAGTGAGCGATAAAAGAGATTGCACTAAAATTAAGAACCTTTTAAGCATGAACCAAACTGTTCCAACTTCTCTTCTCTGGACACGATGTCAGTGAACACTGTGGATGAGTGTGAATTTAGACCTGAGTCATCATTTCACCATACTTGCTCCCATATACACCATTTGACATTCTACTCCTTTCTCTTTTTTAATCTCAAGGACAGTAATAGCTTAATAATTCTTCTAATTTATTCCTTCCCATTCCTTCCAACATATACAGTAAGTAATGTGAAAAAGAAAGAACTTCCTCTTAGAATTCTATGGTTTTATGTATCAAGGCATAACAAAAATGATCTGGTCCTTAGCAGGTCTGAAAATTAGGTAAATACAACCCCAGATGAACAGCAACATGACGTATTACACCATGTCATGATTTTTTTAAAATAAAGCCAAAATGGAGAAGCAATGCATGAAAAACTAAGTACACTTTATAATTCAAAAGCTTGAAGAACCACCTTTAGCAGCAATTACTTGAAGTAATTGTTTTCTGTATGACTTTACCAGTCTCTCACATTGTTGTGGAGGAATTTTGGCCCACTCTTCTTTACA